TTGCTGGGCATCCAACTGCGTGGAAATTGATGTCACCACAACAGGTGATGGACCTTCCGTTGTAGGGTGTCACTACCGGGGAATAGAATATGCGCTTGTCCTACGCGGTTCGCACCATGTTTCCGGTCGGTGCTTTGATGGGCGCTGCTGTATGTACGGTGCAGGCCGACCCACTTGAGCCGGACTGCTGGAAGCGACGAGGACAAACGCGGGCGGCTCTGGGGCACGCGGTGGGCGCCCTGAGTGACCTCGATCGAGCCGTAGAGCTTTTCAACGGCAGGGATCCCGATGTTTTACATCAGCGCGGCATGGTGTACCATAAGGTAGGCCCTGCCTGCACTTTGGACTGTGCGTTACTGAGGTGTTGCCGACAAAGTCGGTCGTGAAATAATATTCGTATCGAGGGGTGAAACTATTAGGCTTTTAGGTTACCACCTTCTTCAGCAGAGGCCGACGAGAGATGAACTGCAATTTTCGGGGGTTGTTCTCCATCGAATCGAAAGTGTTCGGAGTCATGCAATTGTTTGTGCAATCCCGTTGGCGTTGGTGATGTGTTCACAATCAACACGATCATCCGTGTATATTCCTGCCGCAACGACGTATGCTCATTTCGTTATCATTTCCTCCCGCTCATTCGGTTTCAGTTGCGGTACTTCAGCCGAGCCGTGTCAGACTTTAGCGAGGTGGTCAAGTCGAGCGTCGACTCCAAAACCGATTGGAACATGATGGCTTTGTGTCGGGGGCAACTTGGTGAGCCGGAAGCCGCGGAGGAAGCGTACCGACAAGCGCTTGCGATCGACCCTTCTTACAAGGTATCCGTTGCTTGCAGTCATATCGGACCGTTCGGTTGTTTCTGGGTCATCCCTCGACGAAACGTTGGCAAGCGTGATTTCTGAAGCCCTCGCCAAAGAGTAGGAGCATGTACCTGAAGAATTCTCTCTACCTGGTTATGTTGTGGTTGAAGTCCCGAATTTGGTTCACACTTTGCTCTCGTTGCGTCTAGAGTTGCCAGCATTCAATACCCAGGAAAGCACGCTATTAGTGTTACCAGTTTCCTGGAGAGCTACAGTATGTATGGTGGCACTGGTCAACGTCTTCCGTACCCACACGGGGTTGCCCGTCTGCTGGGTGATCTACCTCTCCAGGAAGCTTGGACCAACCTAGGCTCCCTGCTCAGAGACTGGGGCAAGGGGGAGAAGGCGTTGGGGGCATTCGACAACGCTCTTTCGCTCGATACGGCCTATGTACACGCGTACTATCTCCGAGGGTTGTGCAAGCACGGGATGGGGGACCACAAAGGCGCGCAGGCGGATTTCATGAGGGGGTTGTTTTACGACGCCCAGGTCAGTGCTTGTTGTGTAAAATTACCTTGTGGTCACGCTACGCAGTAGTTCAAGATACGTTGGCGCCAAGCTACCACCACTTTCATGCGGCGGTCTGCGAATAGGCGCGCGCGCGTGTGTACGTGCGTACGTGCGTCCTTGCGTGTTTGCTGGTATCGTGCCGGTGTTGACGGTGTGCGAGGCCTGAAGAATGTTTGGTTGTGGAAGTCGTAGTTCTCGGTCGCATTTCTCGCCATCTGCCCACAATCCTTCCCCTCAAGTTTGGGTCCATTTGCCCTTCTTTAGAACGCCTCCTGGTTGCAGTACGCAGCGCCGGGGGTTGAACGCCCTACATACCGCTCATATCTGCAACCCAGACACCTTCTGTTGCAAACAAAATTTACCATGTTGGCTAAAACGCGACGAAGGACGAGCACTGCCGCTACATGGCTGCGCTGTGCATGCATGCCCGAGGGCAGCTGGAAGAGGCCGCTCGCTGCTACGACGCTCTCCTGTCGCTCAAGCCTGGGCACCAGGCATGGTACACGAGGGAGTGCTGCGTCTACCTGTGGTCCAACATTCGACGGCCGTGGCGAGAGTTTTCGCCAGACGCTGAATTAGATCCGGAGTTCAAAGTGAGTGGGTGGCCGGATGGGGGTGGAAGGTTGGCGGTTGGGCGAGGAAATTATGGATGTGGTGGGGACCGCGCTTTGTTTTTCGGGGGATCTCGGTCAGAGTTGGTGATTGTTCTCAAGGTGTTAAATTGTCGTCAGAACTAACACTGCTTGAGTATTTCTGTAACAACGCGCAGGCTCCCTCCTCGAGAGCAGCTGTGAGCCTGTGGCCAAACCAACAGGCTCCGTCTGACCCGTACATCACGGACCATTTTTCTCAACCCTAATTCAGGAGGCGTGGTGCAAACGGCACGATCCGATGACCCTGCGGCACTACACGCGACATCGCAAACCCACCGGCGCGCAAGCCCGTGTCACTCTCGCGGAGGTGAGGATCACACCCCCGGCCAAGCCGCCGTCGTCGCCGGACGATAAGACCGACCCCATCAAGACGGCGGCCGCCAACTTCGCCAAGCCGGACGTCGTCGAGAGCGTCCTCCGAGCCGCGGCTCCGATCGGCCCCGGGATTCAGCTCAGATGTCCGGGATTTCTGTCTAATTCCCGCCAACACCGCATGTTCGGGCTGGCGTCTCTGGAGCTGGCTCAGCTGGTGCGGAGGCACTGGGATAGCGTGAAGGCGGGGGGAACCGGTGCGATGGTGCCGGATGCGGGATCTTCGCGATCTGTGGCCGGCAAGCTGCCCGAGGGCGGCGGGGGTGTCCGGGGGCACCCCGTGGGGTACAGAGACTTGTTCGACGTGGCTGTCCGGTGGAGGCAGCTGTCTGAGCCGAACGATCCTGTGTGGTGGATAGACCGACTCACAACCGGCGCATTCAAAGAAGGGTTTGGTCTCCAGACCCCGATGGTCAATGGACAATTGAAGGTGAGGTTTTATTTAGTGGCATCAATTCACCGTGCATGTTCCACAGCATTGGTTTCGAGCGTACTTTTTTCTTCTTCTCCAGTAGAGTGGTGGAAAATGTGAAAATGTGGAATAAGGGGGCGTTGCTGTTTGGGTTACTACTTTAGCCTGCCATGACGAAGAATGGGCGTTGTATTGAACACCGACGTGCCTCCTCGAATTGCTCATCAAGCGCGGTTATCCTTGCCCGGAGCATGGGCTGATACCGTGCTTTCACAAGGTGTGCCTAAAGCTCTTGCCTCCCTCCTTGGCCCTCTATTTTGCTCCCCTGCCCCCGGCAACAGGTGGTGCGGTACTACCCGTACTATACAATGGCCCTCGATCTGATGAAGAAGTTGATGTGCGAGCAGAGCTCGCTTAGCGAGGAGACGAAGGCAGCCATCAGCCACCCAAACGCTGGACTCGCCGAGCTTCACGAAGCTATCGGGCACGACCACTGGGTGGTCACCCCTTGCCAGCGCTCGAGTCTTGGACCCGGCAGCGAGGGGCGGATCATGGAGGGGTGAGACTGGTTTGGCGATGCGATAGTATTGCATTGGGCGGCGGGCATAATTTTTCTGCTGAACGTGCTCTGCTTGAGCTTCAGACGTGTGTCCCCCAGCTCCCCCATTCGTGTGTTTTGCTTTGAGCTGTCAACGGTGTCGCAATAGTACAAGTGGTTCAAGTTGACATTCGGCACTCGTCGATTCTGTCAAGTACTTGCGCTTCGTACACAGCGCACACCTTGCCAAGACACAAGTGAGACTCGAATCAGCTACACGTGCAAGCTCCAAACAAGCATCGCTCGCCTAGACCACGACCAACACGTCACGTTTCCGATTAACAGTTTGAACCGCAACCGCATGTGCCGAAAAAACTTGACAAAGCTTCTTTTTCCATCTTGTGTATATGTCCAGGACCCGCTTAACCATCGTTGCCAACAACCCGGAGGGGTTCGAGTTCACGATACGAACACCAGGGACACCGGAGCGGTGGCGTCAATACGAACACGAGCTGCGCGCGGTCTGGGGTAAGCTCACCGCCGCGTTCTGCGAAGGCGATCCCCCTGCTGCACACTGCCGAGGGGAAGAGGGGGAAGCCAACAACAAGGATGACGTCGTGTGCGACCTGATCTTGACCATGTTTTACTACTGGGTTAACTTTGGCCCCCTCAGCCGCGGCAGTGCCGCGTGCGGGTACATAGTTCTGTCGGGGCTGATGGCAGCGGCGGGTTGGCGGCTGACCGAGCCCCTCCCCGTGAACGTGCAAATGGACTGGGAGGCAATCCTCAGACCAAATCCTGAGGAATTCATCAAAAAGGCAGGCCCGTGGCTAAGGCGAACGCGTAGACGAGAAGACGTGCTGGAGGGCGTGCAACCGGTGCCAGACGCGTTTCCGACTCCTCTGGAGGCGATCAAGGCCCTCAACGGTCTGTAGACGGGGGAGGGTGTTTGTCGTATTGTCCGGGAGATTGATTTTGTTCTGTAGATTTGTGGCTGTGCGTTGTTTGTGTGTACCATGCGCGTGGAATCTGGCTTAATCATTCGATTGATATTGAATAAAACATGGATCGTACACCCAAAACGAACAACACCCCAGGCTCACATCTACTGCATTGGTTTGGCTAAACCTGAAAGCACAGCACCTCCAAATGTTCGAAGGCAACCTCATGCTGTCAGTAGTACTGCATTGTTGTTGTTGTGGTTGTCTTCACATTAAAAACCGTTCCGATCTCTCTCTACCCAGTACCTTCGCATGTCCGTACTGATCCAACACTCGACGCGGTCGATTCCCGTGGTCGCAAGCTAACTTACCCTAGAAAGGTACACTCAAATAATATGCCCCCGAGGGGTCCGCAAGTCAATAGAAGTCAACGAAAGATATTCTGGAGTCCTCCACTCCCTCTGCGCGCTATGCGAGGTAACAACTGAGACTAGGGGTCACCATCACGGGCCGGAGAGAATGAGGTACAACCCCTTGGTTCAATCTTGGTACTTCACAACGCAAGCAGAAACAAGGCCATCTGACACAGAAAAAGAGAGAAAAAGAGGGAAAAAGAAAAAGAGAAGAAAATAAATGGAAACAGTAAGGAAAGAGAAAATGAACTGTAAAAGAGCGAGGACAAAAAGGGACCAAGCCGAAAATAACAAGAAATAAGCAGACACGCAAACATGGCCACCAACCAGCGATACATTGTAATGGTACGTCATCACTAGTGGGGGGTTGGTACAATGGTGCAGCGTTGGGGGGGGGGGAGGATTGGCTAAAAGAAATTCAATCCGGCACGTATCGCGCCACTCGGTCCGTCTGTTCTCGTTTGCTTTCTTCCCTCGCCGTCTCGTCCGTCTCCTGCCCCCCTACGGCCCCATTGGTTGGTGGCTTGTGGTTTCGTTTGAGCGCCCGTTGTCGGCTGGCCTCTTCTTCCTTCTCGTGCCAAGAGGTCATGAACCTCTCAGCTCCCTGCAGCACCGCTGCATGTCAGGGTACTCCCCCCTCTACCTTCGTGGCTTCCGTCCACTTTTACGTCGGTGCCGTGGACTGCGTGAATCATTGCCTCACTCCCGAAGAAACGCACACAAGGCTCGCTACACACGGCGGTCACACCACGCAGTGAAAGAAGCAGCAGTTTACCCTCTCGATATGGCAGTGGCTGCGCCTTGCGTTTGAACGTGGCGACGAACAAAGGCTAAAAAAAAAAAAAAAAAAGCATCCCGTACGTACCGACGTTCAGGCGCCAAAAACGCGACCACGCTACTCTAGAAGAATGCCACAGACGAAATGTATCTACGAAGTCTAGACATAACACACGTTTTCTACTCTTGAATTCAAACGTACGACACGTCAACTTTACCCCCGTCAACGCCTTTCGGGGGGGCTGGAGAAGAGTCGCCCTCCTCCGCCCCCTGGACATCCTCGTCTCCTCTGCCGGTGGCTTCTCCGAGACCGCTCTTAAAGTTGTCAAAGCTACCCTTGGCCCTCTTTTTCATGTCGTTGGCCGCTTTGCCCATGCCTGCTAGCATCTCCGATGCCGAGTCCTCCTCTTCCTCGTCTGCTGTGACAAACCCATCCGTTGTCTGGGCGAAATCGAAGACGGGCGAGGTTGACGGCATGTATTGGACTTCCGCGGCTACTTCGAAGACAGAACGATAAGTGCGAGTAAACTGTGCGACGAAGCAGTACGGACAGAGCGACACTTGGATGACAAGCAATCGAAAAACGAGTCACGGCCATTTCAAGACAGTGAGCCAGACGTGCCAGGAACTCGGGGTACAGAGCGTTGTCTACAGCCCACGCGGCCCACAGTTGATGGCAAGGTGCAAGCTTTCGGTATCCGTCTGTCTAGGGACGGGGGGGGGACGGGGGGGGCGTACTCCTATGTTTTGCATGTCTTAGCGGTTAGACCATTGACCACGCGTCCTCGAGAGGACGGAGCATTGTTCCCACAGGACCGATCACCGATGGCCAATCGTTCCTTTCTACTTTGCCAAAGGTGGCTCAAAAATGTCTTCCCTAGTCTGTCTATCCTAACGATATCCCTTCCCGCCTTTTCAACCCACCTCCTATGCCCCACTACAGCTACCGTCCTTTCCTCTCTATTCCATGTCTCAAACATCTCCCTGTACGTCCCATCTATTTTTCCCAGCTCAGTCACGTACACTTCCCTCTCCTTCTTGTACAACGGACATTCCGCGACTACATGAACACGGTCTTCGCATTCGAAGCCGCAATCACATTTGAACTCGTCGTCTTCCTCGTCTACCGTCCTATGTCTTCGTCGACGTTCTCGAAGGCCTATGTCCCCGGTCCTGAATTTGACCTTAAGCTTTGTTCCTGCATCCATTGGTCCATGTAGGTAGTCCTTGAACCCTATTCCTTCCTTCAACATTCCGTACACTTCTAGACCCTCCTTATCCTTGGATTCTTTCCTCAGATTCTGTTCTTCTCTCTCGGCACAAGCAACAGATATCTTCTCCTTGAACCCCTGTAGACCCTCCGTTTCCAGCGTTTCATCTTCGTCGATGTCGAGCCCCTTCCATACGTCCTCTACAACCTTGACCCATTCCGTGGGTTGTCTACCCCTCTTTTTGTTTGCCCACTTCGCCTCCCATACAATTCTCGGCAACCTCTCCTCTCCCATCCCGCACATGCGATACTGCCAGGTCAGCTTCCTCGCGTCTCTTCCCGACCGTAGGGATTGGATCCCCAATTCTGCCCTCACGGCTGCATTACTTGTGCGCCTGGAGCATCCTAGGATTGTTTTCGCTGCTTTCATCTGCGCCGCCTCGAGTTCTTTCACAACCTTCTTTTCCTTCCCATACTAGGGACGGGGGGGGGGTGCTCATAGTCGTGCATGCCGTAGTCGTTATGAAACTGACCTCGCATCCCTACGAAGTCGGGACGCAGCACGCCGGGTTCTCACCGGACCAGGCTCTGACATCACCAAGCGCGAAGCACCGTGAGTATTCGGCGAGTCGAACGAAGGGTGCGCTGCATCCTGCTAAGGGTGTTCAGCATCTTGTGCTTACTTCCTTGTGTGCGGATGACAGCTGCGACGTCTTCATTTATTTTCTGGTGCTTTGATTTCCAGAGACAGTTATAAGCACTGCAACTGCCTCGAGGGTGCTTCACCCATTTAACACAACGCGGAGCAATCATCGGCTTTGCGCGGAGTGAGGGTACTCGACCCCGCACAACAAAATCTACTATACCACCATGACGGTTACCGCCGAAAAAAAAAACACAGGGAAAAAAATGAGAAGCGGTAACCTGGTTGCCGAGCTCACGAAGTGATCGGCTTGTTATACAACGTCGCTGCCAAGCGAAGAAAACGCAACCCCGATGACAAACACCGAGGGCGGGGCGGGGGGTCTACAATAGGGCCACCAGACAATTGTTACGGCAAACCAGTGTCATCAGAGTTGACTTGTACGAACAAGACAAATAGCGGGATCACAATGACTGTCGTTTTGGGGTCATCACTATTCGAAGGAGGACGTGACGCTATCTGTTCTTAAATATAATTGCTGTCTGCACCTCGTCCTCCTCTTCCTCCGCAGTCGCATCGCCCTCCTTGTTTCCGCCACTAGCCACCTGCATGGGGACAGGCGAAGCAACGTTAGGCACCACGGAAGGAACAGCAAATGAGGCCTACAGTAACTCTGTGAATAGAATCAATGCCGAACGGCGGGCACGCGGATGGCCATGATCTTTTGTTGGGCCGTCTCACGCCCAACACGCGTGACGGCCCATCTTTGCCCAGGCAGGCCAACCACTATGCAGGAAACAACCAAAGGTAAGGACACAACGCCAATGACAAACACAAAAATTAAAACATTGCACTCGACCCGGCACATGGGACCTGAAGAAACACTTTCATGCAGGTAAAGAGGCGATCATCGTGTTCGCATCACACCGGCGAGGTCAATACAACACAACGCCACAAGTGTCGACAAGAAATAAAGGAGTTTACTGGCTTGCACGGTTAACCCTGACGTGAAACATTCAGGTTTTGTTTATAAAATGGCATCCAACACTAACAGGCGGCACCGAAGAACAAAGGCCACCCTCGATAATACGAAATTTTAAGGTCTGTGGTCACCTCTGCATCTCCCCCCTCGTTGTCGTTGTCATCGTCCTTGTCCTTGGCGTCTTTCGTGGCAGCCACAGCAGACAAGCCGTCAGCTTCCCCTCCACCTTCTTCTCCCGAGCTTTTCCTGTGCTTGCGGGCCTTCGTGAAGGCTTTCGCGAACGCAACCACCTTCTTGACACCATACACTCCAGCAGTAGCGATCTATTAGGAAGTGCACAGCGGTCGATCGTGGTCCAACTCGAGGAGATAGGGACATCGGCAGATGGTAGTTTGATCAATGCAGCGGATGCGGCAGCTTATTCGCTCGTGTCGCATACGCCGTGGGTCCTCCTCCAATACATTACCAGGTGCATGATGTTCATGGAATACACCCTGCTCGTACATGCATAACAAACCTATAGACCTGGGGGCTGAGGGTACACTATGGCTTGCAGTATTTGGAATCCTCATGCTCTCATGGCTCTCGAGGCCTTTTTCTGAGGTTCTCCGCCCCACCTGCCAATGTTTTGTCGTTCACCCCGTGGAGCACATTGTGGCCACCACAAATGATCATCTTCGTTTTCTTCGCAGCTTTTCACTGCGCCGCAGACCAGCATTGTACCCATAAACTACGTTCCAAAAGACAGGTAAAAGTTCAAATCTTCCAGACAACAATTATTTCCAGAGAGAGAGATCATACGGGTCATACCTATGTCAAGTCAAGTCAACCATGGGTGGGGCCACACGAACGATGCACCTCTCACTGCAACACTTTTGCTGCGGCTGAGACGGTGTGCTCACAAGTATAGTTTCCAAGGCGCACTTGCATTGTACAAGCAGTACACGCACAACATCAGTCCCCACCGACCGGAATGCGCGCGAAGACGAGCACACGAGGGGTTGGGGCAGACGTTACGGACGCTTGGATGTCCCTTGCACAACTGCCACTCACCACAACAACCTTGGCCAGCATGATCCCAATATCCTCGGCCGTGTCCTCCTCCATGTCGAGCGACTCCGCAGACACCGTCTCCAGCTGCTGGTCTACCTGCTCATCGACGACTCGTTCCACCGTCTCTTCCGCAGCTTCAACAGCCTCATCGGCCTTCTCCTCTTTCTTGTTCTTCCTTTTCTCCTCTGCCTCCCTGCATCGACGACGAACGCGACCTGAGGACATAAACAACCTCTCACTAGCAGTGTATGATGCCCCTGCGGTGCTCGTGTCGGGGTTGCATGCTGTCGCATGGTACTCAACTACAAGGACGCACGCATGCGGTTGACACGCGGCTGGCGGCGTGATTATCCTTCACACACAGGACCATCAGGAGGTTCTTTCCTCCTCTACAGCAGCCCCAACAGCAATCGACCCCACGAGACGAACTAACATGCGTGTACTGCTTCCCGTCTAGTAGGATGTCCGTGTGGCATTTGGGTGCGCTGCCCACTGCACACCTCTTGATCGCCTTCCAGTCGCGGATGGGTCTGTTCCTTCCGCCAGGTTGCATCACCGCTAGGGTGGAGGATCGCGATGAAGAGGCTCGCCCCGTTGCCCAGTTGTTAGCGTCTACGACCGCATATTGGCTCAAAAGAAGGGCAGAGCAAAACAATGCGCGAGGCACGCGCGGGTAGCTGTTGGAGCGCATCTTGCTTGCGATCGTGCTCACGAACTGCAGCGCTCGTCGTGGTTTGGGTTTACCGGATAAGCTCAAACCAGGGGGTTCAACGGTTGGGGAACCACGTGGGATGCTTGTTGTGCTTGTTTCTTCTGCGGGACAGTCTGCAAGTAGTCAGTGCGCCAGTGACTCATCACCTTCCCAAGCAAAGCACATCAACCAAGCTCTCACCTCGGGATGGGGAAGGGATGAGGGTTGATAAAATTCCCCTCCTCTCGTAAGAAAAATAGCAGAAACTGTCGGCCCTCGCCGGCATTCCACTAATATCTACCTTTTGCATTTACTTCGAAAGCTCGTAGCATACTTGTATCATGCATCCGTTCATCCAGTTGGACGTCAACCTGGACGCTGGATGCACAAGCCGCGGTCACACAGGAAGGACGACGGAGCGGGAAGCAAGCCACCACACTGGCAATAATAGCCTGATCCAGATATTGACACGTGCTGGGGCTTCGAGCCCTCACCCAATACAGATGTCTTTTGGATGTTCTGACTCTGCGGTGGGTGTTTCTAATATTCATCTGTGTTTGAGGACGTCTATTCGGACCCGTCTATTCGCAAACAAGCTACAATGTAGTAATTAGTTCGCCCATTTCGCATTCTTCGACGCCAGATCAACAGATTTTGTACTCCGTATTAAGAGTCACCAAAAGCTTTTGTACTCCGTACCGTAGTAAGAGTGGTAATCTTTCTTGGAATAATAGTGGCCGCAAGCTGCTGAAAAAAGAAAAATCCTTGAGCATTAGACTATGGACACACATGAATGTGAGCGTGCGTCACCGACCGCCAAAAAAAGAGTAACAGGTACTGACTGCCGCATCCGGTGGTTTGCCTTACCAACGCAGCTACGACTGCACGACAATCCCGACCACTAAAAAAACGGCACTATTCCCACAGGCTGGGGCACCACCAGCAGGGCACCATACTGCTGTACCAGACAACAGGAGCAAAAGCAGTAAACCCTAACCTTGGTGGCAAAGCCATATACACTTCACTATTACTGCTGTAATCCTTCTACACCGACAACGCGCGTATGTCGGCCCCTAGGTCCCTTTTTCGCAACAGGATGAGAACTACTGCCTCCCGTCTAGATACAATTGACAGCAAGGCGCATTCGTAGACGCCTCTGTCTGTCTGTCTGTCTGTCTGCTGGATCGCCTCTGCGAAACAAGCCTGCTGTCGTGGGCACAACACGGGACGGGACGAGACAAGACGAGACGCCTTCCCACTGCCGCCGCAAATTAAACAACCAATAACAACACTTATTTACCGCCGATTTAGCACCTGACACCCTTTTCTTGCTACGCCTGACCTGTTCCCCCGCACCACGCCAAGCGCCCAGATCTGAGCTTCTAGCCCCCGCTCCCCCACCGCAAGAACATGCCGAAACCCTCAACGTTCCTACGTGTGGTCAAGATCTGTGGGCTTCTGCAGATTATGTGCCATGGCACGACAGCAATCTCGAGGGCGCTGTCGTGCCTCCGGCGAGAAACTACCGACACTAACGCGATGGCGTCCGCATCTGTCTGTCTCTCACTCCGTCCGCTTGCCATGGCAACAATACGAGCGGCACCTGTCAGCTAATCTCGACCGTCGCACTGAAAACTGCAACCTGCCGTGTCCTCTTAGGGTAGTGCGCCAGAGGTCCAACGCTCGGCCACCTTGTCGTCTAGCTCTCCCCAAAGCTGCAGCAATCTGTCGGCGGTATCTGCCTTGCTGCTGCCGATAGGGAGTTCCGCCTGCACCTGAAAGCGAGAGGCGACCCATTGGTCGATTCAAGCACAGCAGTTTCGGCACGGGAAGGCATAGAGAAACGGGAATAGAGCGTGAGGGTGCGCATAGGCAAAAACCGTACGATGTGCAAAACACCGTATCGTACCTTGGACCACATAAAAGGGAAGAAAATGGCGAGAAAGCAAGAGAATGGAGGATGCTTAATAATACCTCCACTCACTACAAAAACTTCAACGCGTCTCCTTCGACTGCTGCTGCTGTGTTTTTATCTCGAGCGGGTATCTTCCTGTGTTTGTGTTGTACAATTGTACATATTTTTCCGAATACAGCGACGGCAGGTTTCGAAGCCTGGCATGAGCGACTACTGACTGTATCGGGCGGCGCTCTGTCAACGATAACTCTAGGCGCTATGCATGCTATGCATGGGCTAACAAATCAAAGACGAAACAACCAAGCGGCCGTGTAGGACTGACTCACTCTTGTCCGATTAGCTCTGCAAAACGCCACGAAGCCAGCCGACGGCCCGGGGCTCTTCGGTGTTGCTGGTGCTGGTGCCTTGCGTTTCTTGCTAGGTGCGGAGCTCCCCCCCCCCCC